TTTAAAGTGTATATAAGAGGGTTAGCAATTGGGATTAGTATGATATATAGAAGAGAAAACATTTTGTCTTCAGTTGGAGAATACATTGATATCGGTCTAACATGAAGTGACAGAGAGGTTCCATAAAATATAAGAACAGAAGTCAAGTGGGATGCACATGTAAAAAATGCTTTGCGTCTTCCATCTGCTGACTGGATATTTAAAATAGTGATTATAATAAACACATAGGAGGACAATGTGAGTGAAAATGCACTCAAGCCTACAACAGCTCCCAAAACATATGTTGCAATCTCAACATGTGAAGTGTCAGTGCAGGAAAGTTTTAACAAAGGGGAAATGCCACAGAAAAAATGGTCGATTTGATGGGATGAGCAAAATGACAAATTTGCTATAAAAATAGAATGTATTACTGGCTCTAAAGCTGAAGCAGTCCAGACACCAACCAAAAATGAAATACAATGTTTGAAATTCATGAAAAGGGAATAATGAAGGGGGTGACATATCGCCACATAACGGTCATACGCCATAACAGCTAAAAGCAAGAATTCAGTACAAGTGAAGAAGATGAAGAAATACATTTGAGTCATGCACTCTTGGAATGTCATAGTCCTCTTCTGACTGGAGAGCATGCACACAAGCTTTGGTAGAATGTTTGAAGTCGAAAAAATTTCAATAATTGATAAATTGCCCAGGAAGATATACATAGGATTATGTAAATGGGTGTCAAGGATAATACATGAGAATACTGCAATGTTCCCTAGTAAAATGTTAAGATAAATTATCAAAAATGTTAAAAAGAGAGGAATCTCATTTTCAAAAATGTCTGAAAAGCATTGAAAGGTGAAGCCTGTAAATGTAGATTTTAAAGTCTCATTAAACATCTCCATGACAAAACAGAGAGGTTATATGTGGTATTTGATGATGGCACTCAAATCAATCAATCTCTCCAAATGTGAATTTCTTGTGTTTTTGAACTCATTGACCTCTGCTTCTATTTTGCAGGCAACAGTAGTAAACTGTAACTGTTTTACAATTTCAAACTCTTCTGAATGAATCATTGAGTTTTAATAAATATACAGGAAGCCTGACCTCCAGAATCATTAAACCACCTGTTGTACTCTGTATGTATGAAAAGAAAATGATCAGCTTTAAAATACATATCTTTTGTCTATGTCTAGAAAATCATTGTATTACATTTATTTATACATTTCTCCTTTTTAAAAATCAACTTCTGGGCCTAGGCAGCTCATTGTGTGTTTTTTAAGATCCAGACACTTGGAAAGACAATTAACAAGTCTGAGAGTTGGCACATAATAATAGAAAATAGTTAGAGTTTGTTGTGCAAGTTCAAATTGGAGAACTACATGCAGAGAATTGCATGCAGACACCACCTTACTGCATTTTCTTCCTGCTGCTGACTTCCTTTTTATCGTTAGGCTGTGGATTTCTGTCCCAATGTTCTATGCCTCATGCATACCAAACAAAACACAGTGAATGCCCAGTTGTTAATGAACCTTGCACGATATCTGGTTTAAAGCAAATGAGTTTTGATATTTTATATTTTTCAATTCAATATTTTTATTGAGCTTTTAAAGATGAGTACAATTGTTACACCACAAACAGTATTGCTTTGTGGTAAAGTACAGATGATATTGTAAGAGAGAGATATATACTCTTACTACTGGATGACCAAACATTTAGTATGTAGCACACCCATGTAAGTGCTAATAGTTTGGTAATCTCTCTGAAGCTTAATTTTCTTCACTGAGCTTGAGTGGTGGAGTACTTCCACCACTCTGACAAATTCCTTTGACACAATAAACAACACCAGGTTAAATTTACCTAGAATGTATTATGAATGTAAAGGATAAGTTCACTGTTTGACAAAAAATAATAAATGCACATTTTTTGCAGGTAAAAAATGTACATTTCTTATTTTCTTGTTGCAGCAACCTGTAAAGCATTGCACCAGCGATCAGCAGATCGCTGGCGCTATGCAGGTCTCCTGTAGACCTGTCAGTATAGCTGCTTGCTCATGCAGGATGTACAGGCAAGCAGATATACTGACTAGAAGAATCAATGAACTACCACAGTGCTCCACCACCGCACCGCAGTAGTTCATTGAGAACTACAAGCCGACAGCCACTAAGGCTGTCGGAACTTGTAGTTCATTCAGAAAGTGTACAATCCAAATGCACACATTCCTGCATTAAAAATGGCTGCGTGTATGTGGGTGCTGCAGCGACCATCGGCTGGATTTGAACAGAATCAGCAAGGGAGAATGTCTCCAGCACACCGAGGACCACCAATGTGGGTACAAAAGTTTTAATGAACAATCACATAGTTACACGTAACATGCCTGATGAAGGGGTCCTGCGAGACTCCCAAACGTTGCCTTGCTGTAACTATGTGATCGTTCATTAAAACTTTTAGAGCCATATTGGTGATCCTCTGTGCTGGTGACATTCTCCCCTGTAGTTCATTCATTCACTGAACTCTGTGAAGGAATGATGAGGCCATGTGGGTGGAGCCTCGGTGTTTTCAAAAAGTGACAGCTAATATGCCCATACTGCTGCTACTGGGGCAGGGCGGAGTGGGGATCGGGCAGTGGCTGCAGCATTGGGGTCATGTTACATGTTTCACCCTATTAATGGGTGGAACATGTAACATGTTTCCAAAGGTTACTTATCCCTTAACATTGGTTAATAATAAATGTACAGGTTTGCAATAATGACCTTATAACACACTGTTACAATACAATTTTTCCATATAACAATCTTGACTTTGACCTAAAGGTGATTGGGCCTAAATTCCATAGCATATACAACTTAATTTGAGCTATGACAAGATCATCAAGAGCATAACCAAGGCAGAAAAAAAAATGTGAAATTAAATTTTCATGAGGCTAAACTAATTATTAGACTTCAAGGTGGTCCTGATAAGCCTGCCCATATGCCTGCAAAGCTTTGTTGTGAGAAATAAACCCCCATCAAGATATATGATAAGACAAATACCATAATGATAAAACAAGATGGATTCAGGCAAGATGGAATAGCCTCATGTGATTACTTATGCTAGCTTAGTTATGGGCCTTTCCGGTGGTATAATGGTGGAAAGTTGATGAACTAGGATAGGCGAAAAAAGGATATCCTGAGTTGAAGCTGGATATGTCTGAGGTGATCGGATTAATGTCTATCTGAGGTGATTGTCTGTAGCCTTTTCTGAGGTGACCGACTGAAAGTTTGCCTGAGGTGACTGGCAGAATGTGTGTCTGAGGTGACCAGCCCAAGCTTTGTTTGGGGTGACTGGTAGAATGAGGGTCTGAGGTGTTTGGTGGGAGATTTGACTAAAGTGACCGGCTGACAGTTTGTCTGAGGTGACTGGATAAATATTTGTCTGAGGTGACTGGTCAAAGCTTTGTATTAGGTGACTAGCAGAATGTGGGTCTGTGGTGTCTGATGAGGAACTCGAGTAAAGTGACCAGCTGGGAACTTATCTGAGGTGGCCAGCAGAATTCTGCAAACCTTCCTAAATGGCTGGTGGTTTCGCCTCGGTGGTACCGGAGATTTCCAATTCAGAGAGATAGGCCTCGCTGGAGGGCAACAGGGTCCCACAAACTCTGAGCTTCTCATGTCTCATGCTCCAACCACGAACCTTCTAGAGCCGCTAGATTTTATTTCTCTTGGTCTCTCCCCCCAGTCATAAAGTCTTCTGGGAGCTGTACTTTTCTCATGGGGGCAGATCAGTGTCATCCATACCGGAAATGTACTTCTCATCCACCTCCTTATGATCAGGTGTGGGCCAATTAGGTGAGGTGACAATGAAAGTCCATAAAGACTGAACATCAAGAGAAAAAAGCAAGACCAGTGCTCAGGTCTTTAAGCATCCCAGGAACATGGTAACAGTCACTCGCTGAGGTGCGGCCCTCTAAAGATCGGGGAATCTTGATACTACTGGAAGAAAGCAAAAAAAGGGCGCACTCTCCTCATGCATTACCGTGATAAAAAAGGATTTATTTAAAATGGCTAAAGTATATACTCACAAACTAAGAGTCATGTAAACAAACAAGGAACCAATGTGACAGTCCCAGAAAATGTTGGTCTTACGACAGGCTATGCTAACATGTTTCAGGAGACGAACTCCCTTCCTCAGAGCTCAGAGGAAGGGAGTTGACTCTTGGTTTGTAAGTATATACTTTTGTAAGTTTCAATAAATCCTTTTTTATCACGGTAATGCACGAGGAGAGTGTGCTCATAAAGACTGAGTTAACATCCTTGCTGAGACACATTGTCAGGAATGGACTTGCCAGTAATGGTGGGACTCACCTGCCTTGTGGGCTGCAGTACCAGGGCTGGCCAGCGGGTGCTCTCAGCAATCAGAGACTCAACCCTGCAGCCAGCCAAACACCTGAAGCTGATTATGCAGGTGTATTTAGGGGATGGCCAGACCTGCAGGCTGGGCCTTGGTGTGTGGTTTTCCTGGGCCCTGTATCTTGTTACCTGCATTCCTGTTCCTGTTCCTGTCCCTGTCCCTGTCCCTGTTCCTGTCCCTGTCTCTGTCTGACTGATTCGTTGCTGACCCTGCCTGATCCGGACCTCTGCTGACTTCTCCTGCTTGATCCCTGGCTTGTGACCCCGACCATTCTCTGCCTGACCCCGTTCCTACCTGCCCGATTGTTATTGACCCGGCATGCCTGACGACGCTTGCATTGTATGTATTATCTGTGGGTGGTCTGGTTTGGTTCGTTTGCACTGTGTTATGCTTTAGTATTGCACTGCGTTTATGTATTGTTAGTGTTAATAAATTATATTGTTTATATCATATCTGAAGCCTGCGTTTCCCTGCGTCAGTTCACATACCTCTGATCATACCCTGGAGCCCTGACATACATTGTCCCACAAACTTTTCTACAAAGTTCAGCTAGCACCTAGCTATAAGTATGTAAGCTGAATGCAAAAATCAATAGAGATGAGGATGGCAGATCAAAATCTTTGCCTCACATTAACTAATTGTCTTGAATATGCATGTCAAATTTTGATTTTAAGTGTATGAAAAATGTGTGTTACATTTGTATTTATCTTATATAATCTGTTATGGGCAGGGTGGACTGACCATTTGGAAACTCGGGCACTGCCCGAGGGCCCGAGGTCAGTAAGGGGCCCCATGAGATGCCCCTGGTACCTTTTTCATAGGCTTTTTTGAGTTTGGGCAAGGACACAGGGGCCCCATGATCCCCTATTGCCCGGGGGCCCCATGAGTTGTCAGTCCGCCCCTGGTTATGGGAGAAGTCTGCAGTCAGAAGGTGTTGTTTATTTTAAATTAGAGTGTAAAATTGTATAATGTAAGGTTTGGGAAACAAGAAAGGGTAAAGGATCTAAAGAAACTTCACCATAGGACTTATCCTTTTCCTTCCCCTTTTTTTCCCTCCCTCTCCCACTGAGTATTCGGCTCTCCTCCCAGGGGGAGGTTTGGTGTGGTTGGTTGGTTGGTCCTGATCCCTGTATTTGTGATAATGAAAAAAAGGTAAATGTCAATATTAAATATATAATTGATGTTACAATCAATTTATTGAATGAATATTGATTTTATTTGTATCATGTTTCACAGAACCTGGAGAACTGGGATATCTGGGACCCACAAAATGCATTATTTTAAAATTATTGAAATCCCCCCTGCCAATGCCATCCAGAACTCATAATGTACCTGGTCTGAACACAATAAAAAGACAAGTGGTATATAGCAGAGTGGGAGGATCAATGTCAAGCTGTGAAACAAATTTGCTAAACTTTTACTGTATGTAGTATATTTTTGAATGTACACAGGAAGCCATGCTGCGCTATATCATGTTTTATATTTTATATGAATATGAATACACTGATGAAATTTTAAAAATGGTGTATATTTAATATACTATCAAGCACCTTTAAAGTACCATGTATGGTGGAATTTCTTACTAATTGTAATTTCAAGGATGGTGGTGTCTATCTGTGTGTTCCTTGCACTATACACTATATTGCCAAAAGTATTTGAACGCCTGCCTTTCACACACATGAACTTTAATGGCATCCCAGTCTTAGTCCATAGGGTTCAATATTGAGTTGGCCCACCCTTTGCAGCTATAACAGTTTCAACTCCTCTGGGAAAGCTGTCCACAAGGTTTAGGAGTGTGTCTATGGGAATGTTTGACCATTCTTCGAGAAACATATTTGTGAGGTCAGGCACTGATGTCAGACGAGAAGGTCTGGCTTACAGTCTCCACTCTAATTCATCGCAAAGGTGTTCTATTGGGTTAAAATCAGTACTCTATGCAGTCCAGTCAAGTTCCTCCACCCCAAACCTGTTCATCCATATCTTTTTGGACCTTGGTTTGTGCACTGGTGTGCAGTTATGTTGGAGCAGGAAGGGGCCATTCCCAAACTCTTCCCACAAAGCTGGGAGCATGAAATTGTCCAAAATGTCTTGGTATGCTAACGCTTAAGAGTTCCCTTCACTGGAACTAAGGGACCAAGCCCAACCTCTGAAAAACAAACCCACACCATAATCCCCCCTCCACCAAACTTTACACTTGGCCAGAATCTGGGGGACCTTGTTAAATCCCCCTGCTCTCAGACCCCACACAACCATCTACTACAGTTGTGAGGAAGAGGCCCTTGTCTCCATCAACATGGGGACAAGGTGCTTTGGGGGGGAGCCCCCCTGCCCCAAAGTACCCCCCCATGTTGAGGACATATGGCCTGGTATGGTTCAGGAGGGGGGATGCTCGCTTGTCCCCTCACCCTCTTTCCTGAAATGCCGGGCTGCATGCTCAGATAAGGGTCTGGGTTTTCTACACTATCTAAAACTTAAATAACATGTTTTGGTTGGAGTTGGGCTTTAAATATATGAAATCCCTGAATGATAGGATATTTAATCAAATAATAATTAATATAAGTTTAAACCTATTGTAAAAATATGCTATACAAACTCAGTAAAAAGAATCCTATCAAAGACTACCGCTGCTGTATACCTTCTTAAAATTACTTGGAGCAATTATACAGGTGTGCTGACTTGATTCTAAATTAATTTTCTGTATGCTTTTTTTTTGATCAGTGACTCAAAATGCATGAAAGTCAAAGTAGCAGCAATACAGTCAGGCAACTAGCATGTTTAAAAGTTAGTCAGCAATGGCAGCTTATAGACCTCTGTTAACAAAGGTTTTCCTTAAAACCCAGTATACACAAGTCTGTTTAACTAGTACTGTGTGTGAGTATACTTTTTTAATATTCGCCTCTGTTTATGCTTACTGCTGACTTTTTTTCATTGTTTAAAAATTGTGACATTCTCAAGGTTATTTTGGTATGTTGTTTTAAAATGTTTTGTAAATTACAATACATTGGGGTTGGTTTACTAAAACTGGAGAGTGCAAAATCTGATGCAGCTCTGCATAGAAACCAATCAGCTTTGTTTTTTTTTTGTTAAAGCTTAATTGAACAAGCTGAACTTAAAAGCTGATTGGCTACCATGCACGATTGCACCAGATTTTCCTCTCTCAAGTTTTTATTTAAGCAACCCCACTGTATATATTGGACTTTCAACCTTGTATAAATAATTATGCTTTTTAATTCAGTTGATTACTATAAAAAATGGTAGTACAATTTAAAGCCTTGCTAAGCATCCAGGTATCTTAAAGCAATTGTAAACCTAAGAACAAAAACTAAATTTATTGCTGACAGGAAAGTTAGCTTGGGCACGCAAATACATGTTAATATCTAAGTTGTGTATTACATCAAAATGTATATCTTCTTACATGATCCCCTTTGTCTACCTCAAGTTGTTATGTTTATTGGCTGTATGCAGGGCCAGAACAAGGGGTGGGTATGAGGGGTGGCTGCCCTAGGCGTTGTGGTATCATGTGAGGTGGGGGTGGCACCACTTAAAGGTTCCTGCCACTTTAAGCTGACATGAATAGTGACAGCAGCATCCCTACTCCTGTCAGCTTAGCGCAGGAAGTGTCAGGCAGAATCAGGCGAGCAGGAGAGATTCGGGAGAAGGTGCATGCTGTGCTCTCTCTCTCCCCTCCAGCTTCTCCTCCTGCCAGTGCAGTGCTCCTGCATCTGGACTGTCAGATTAGGACTGTACAGGTTTTCCTTACCTGTCCTCATCTCTTCCCAGCAAAAACCAGGTAAGGAAACTCTGGCGGTCAAACATTTGTTCTGGATGGGGGTATTTCAGCAGGGTGGGGATTTGTACTGGGAGTAGGGGAATTTTGGTTTGGTGAGAATTTTGGCTTGTAAGGGGAATATATACTTAGGGGGTTAATATGTGTCCCGGCACTGGCCATATGCAATGTAGAGGTGTTGAGGATATTGAAATAAGTTGCATCTACTGACTATTTGCTCTAGATTACAATGTAAATGTAAATGTAAATGTTACAAGTCAGTTTCTGTAAGATGCCATTCAATTAAAAAAAGAGTAAAACAAAATATATACAAATATACAAACATTCCTCTTGATCCTGCTAGAAATCCAGCTTGATTATAATTTTCTGTGTACTGAAAAGTATAATTCAGTGTTACCAGCTTCCTTCTGTGAACCGCAAAACATTTGTGTATAGAAGATGAGGACAGAGGGAGGTGATTTTATTCCAAATCAGGACAGCAGACTAGGGTGACTACACTGCTTATTTACTGATATAGTACAAGTACACATTATGACCCTAGCACAGGATGTGTGGTATGGTGGTGGTAGACTGGTGGTGTGGCAAGATGAGCCAGGTGACATAAAAGAGAAAAAAAGTCTAACAAAAGAAGAAAGAAACCAAAGCAGCCACCACATCAAAGAACTGATGTACTGCAATTTACTGTATTTTGTATTTGGGTATGGATACGGTTTATAGATATTTCAACATTAATTCTGGGATCCATAGCAAAATCAGTATATTGTTGAATTGGTAACATACCTATGGATGTTATTACGCTACATGCTCCTATTCACATAGCATAACGTAAAAAAAACATTTAAAATTGCAACTTACCTTTTTTAGATGCTATTTTCTGGAACTTCCAGCAAGGAAATGTTCTACTTAGTTCCTTTAGTTATGAGGGGGGCTGGGAAGTTATTTTTGCCATAATTAAACCTGTCTGTACTGTATAGCACATCTACTCTCATAATCTCCTAGATTGTAAGCTCCAAGGAGCAGGGCCCTCGAACCCCTCGTGTATTGTTTTGTTGCTGTATTGTCTCATGTTCTGTCCCCCACTATAATGTACAGCGCTGAGCAAACCTTTTAGCGCTATATAAATACTGTATAATAATAATAATAATATGTACTAGATTTGAATAGAGTGTGCCTTACCAAAGGGTTAAAGGTTTAGGAGCTGGGCTTCTCCATTGTATGATAATGAGATCTGAACTCAGCTATTGGGACAGATCACACTGAATTTGAGAAATTCTTGCAGTCAAGCAGCTTATCCTCAAAATACCTTCAGGTAATAAATAAATATATATATATTTATTTATTTATTTATTTTTTTTTTAATGTTACGTATGCTGTGTGAATAGAAACACATAACAAACATATAGTGGGGTTTTCTCAAACTTAGCTGCAAAAGTGGAAACATGCTTTAAAGAAGTAGTATTTACTTAATTTAATCCAGTACCTCTTCTAATAGCTTCAAAAATGCAATCATGCTGGAGAAGTTCTTTTTCTTTATTCCACTGTGCACTTTTATTAGGTGAAATGGGAAAACAGTCTTCTTGTTAAAAAAAAAAAAATACTTGTTCACATTCAAGATGCAGTTGTTCTTTTAAAGAAAATAATTTATGCAATTTTACACAAGATACCAAAGCACAAGTCACACATAGCAAATGCTGACTGGGAGGCTTTAAAAGCTTCTTGCATTAAATAGAGGTATATATGAGCCATTTACCTTAGGGAATATAATGATAATGATGAAAGCTATTTTGATATTTCTATCTCCCATGGTACAGAGCTGCAACATTTACCAAGCAAGAAGATTTTAAAACATGCATTGTGACTAATGTCATATATGTTAATAATATCAGCTGTTATTAGCTTCTAAACTTTAAAAGTAGATACCAAAAAATATCACAGTGTTTAAAACACAAAACAGAAATTCTTCCGTTAATAGCTGAATTAGCTTTTTGATTCTACCAGCTTGAATGCTTGCCAGGGTTTAACAAGAAACTGTCCTCTAAATCTAAACAGTATGAATATGCACAATTACATATAAACCACAATTCTTTACCATATTTAATGTTGCTCAACTACCAGTTCAGAAT